GTTAGGTTACTTTTAGCCATAGCATTTTTTTTTTTATCGGTTGCTTTCACCAAAGACTAATCAACTTCCCTAAATCACTCTTTATTATTTCAAGACTGTTCCCATTTCTTTCCCAGAAATACTATCTGTAAGAGACTGTTTCAATAATTGCAACTGTGTAACTATAATTATGTCAAAGGATAGGAATAAATTAAACATTTATAAACTACTCCAACGTTTCTCTGTCTGAATACAGTATGTGACATAACTTTGAATAGTCTCTATGAAATCATGTCACAAAAACATTTATGCATTCCCTAAAAAAAGTGTAAAGTGTTGTGTGGCAGCCCAGGCTGGAATGTTTTTTATCATTCTCTCTGTTTACCTATACTGACTGCAGTCAGTTATAACAGCAGTTTGAGTCAAAATAACAGAAGTCTGACAGCCTAAAGATTACAGAGGACCCTGGCCATCAGCCCACTAATGCTATCATTACGTTTATTTGTTCTAGGTTGAGATAATGCTGTTTTCAGGCTCTTTTTTTTTTTTTTCTGTTTACAATTTAAGATCAAAGAGAAAGGATCACCAGGTGACAATCTAACTTTCATCTGCAAGTCAAGGAGCTTCCTCAGCTCAGAACATGCTATACTTTATTGAAAATCTCACAAAACGTTCTTGGATAAAAATATGAGTGCAGTAAGTATTGATGCACAATGCAAGAACCATAACAGAGGAAAACGCATCCCTAACTAAAACACACACACACATATACATTTCTCCCCTTTACAGCTGAATTATGCAAGTGTGGATTTTCTGAGAACTTTAGTACTCTCTCTCACATGGTTAAATACAACCGTGGTTTGCAATAAGCCTTTGTGCTTAACACAGCATAATCATACTGCTTTCTTGCTCTTTTAAAAACACCGAACCATGAATTTCCAAAGCACAAATAAAACTTAAAGCCTAAGATATTAATCCAATCTAACTGAAATACTGAGTTCTGGCTGTGTTTGCAGAAAAGTAACTTTGAAAGGTGTGACCTTAGGACTCACACCTCCAACCAGTTAAGTATCTGAGCACTTCATGCGCTTTCACGGTTGTTGTCCTCAGAATTTCCTTATGAGACGTCCACTTTCCACCTTTATTCAGCGGATAAGGTTTCTTCCTATACTTGCTGTTCAAAGTCAGTAAATACAACATGGATTCCCAGTAACACCTTAGAAGTCAATAACACTCTGTTTCATTGCCCAAAGTATGCAGAAAGAGAATAGGAAAAATCGTGTTACAAAGATTAGGTGTGAATAGTCTGGGAGAATACTACTACTCACCCTTGCTTCACGTCAAGGAATCGGAAGCTCAAAAAGCCCACCTTACTCAAGCACAGTACCCAAGTCTCCCTCAGCATCACGGAACCAACCTCGAGCAGACTAGCATGGTATTTAAGCCTTAAAAAGGCCACTGACAAAAGAACCTAGATGACAACTAGCAGGTGCATTTGGATCTGACTACAAGAGATACTGTACTTAAGTAACACAAAAAGTACGTATGAGCCTATGTTGAATATCAGCGCAACCTGCTATAAGCAGCATTTCAATGCAGAGAAAGCTTATTTTGCTGGGGAAATTGGAAGAGCCTCCTCCCTTTTCCCTCTAATAGAAATGTCACAAATAGCACAAGTGTAGCTATTGGGATAGACTGTCAAGACAAAAATCCCCGTTTTGTTTTCTGTCTGAAGTTCAGCATTCTAAAGCTTTCACTACTTATCCTGATTTTAAAAAAAGTGAAGAATCTCACTCTTGTCAAATCTAAATTTCATACAATTAAAAGGCTACTTTTACCAAGGCAAGTTCTCCTAAACCTAATGTTTAATTGCACTTATGCCTTAACTTACTGTGCCTAAATCTCACTTGATCTCCTTTTATATATATAGTGTGCATATATATTTTATTCATATACATAAAATACGTATTTTTATATATATTTATACAGGCACATACATACACAAGCTTTTTTTTTTTTTTTTTTTTTTAAAGGGAATAGTCAGTCAGGACATCTATGATCATACTGTTATCCAAAATATGATGATTCTATATTTTTTATTTTTTGCAGACTTAGGGGCTACTTAGGTCAAGGAAAAATTCTGACGTCCAGGAAAGGAGGCAGAATACATATAGACCTCCTTCCAACCAGTACGTACCCTTCAGAAATGGTTAGGAAAAGTAAAAATGGACTTTCGGGCAGAAATTTCTCAATTCCAAGCCACACTTTGTCATGAATTTAGAAGAATGCAACACAATATTCATTATATTATACAGTAATAGCACAGGGAACACATCTCCATTTGCATGAAACACACTAACTGATCAAAAAGCAACAAAAACAAAAGCATGTATTAGACTGTAAAAGACAGATTTTGTTGGAAACGTGGGGTAAAACACTATTGGCCAGAAACTTGCATAAGAAAGCAGATGATTTTGGTATGGGTATTAAATACCACATATTAAGAGGGGCATATGATGATGTTTAAACAATTCATAACTGGTAATAACTAAAAAAATTTTGACATTGATAATCACTCATGTCCATCAACATAAATTATAACTTCTTATAGCTTCTGTACAGAAGGTGACCTTTAAAACTACTGGCCTTGATTCACATCTAGCTTTAAACGAGCAGGGGGTAAAAAGCCTTGTTGCAAATGTATGAGCACTATTATAATCAAGAAAGGAGATACAGTGGCTTCCATTGTGCATCTTAGAATATCTACACTGAGAATTTTAAATTGAACAGTCTCCAAAATTCTTGTCTGTGAAACGTAACTTATATATGAAATTTAAGGAACAAAATAATAGAACACAGCACCACCTACTACTGTTCTCACTACAAAACTGAAAGTACTGTGTTGGTTAAAAAGTAAAAGAAAGAACATCGATCAAATTACGCAAATGTTTTAAACAACAGCTGTTTATGGGAAATTACAGGTATCAATGTGATATTGTTGCTGGATAGTTTTAATTATCAAGGGAGTTATAAAATCCACCAACACGTGCCTGACTGGTTAGATTTTTCTCTATTCTATACCCATTCCATATTGTTCATATCCCAAGTTAAAATACACAGCAAGAAAGAAAAAATTTTTACTCTTTCGGTTCTGAGATTGTAAAGCAATACCTTCACACAGATGCAAATACTAAACCTATAAAATTCATATTAAGAAATATTTACTCCTAAAACATCTCATATGTTTTCCAAAATACGTTTTAAAATACAAATTTATCAGCTTTAAAATAGAACACCTTTGTTCCTAATGACTGAAGTCATATATTTTTGTTTCAAACACTGATTACAGAGTATTTCCAAACAAAAATAACTTAAAAACATTATAGTAGATACTCAAATAGATGACAGGATATATGTATAAACACAGATCTCAAACATGTGCCCTTTATATTATTTATATATTTTTAAAATATTCACTTTACAGGCTAACTTTCAAATAGTATCTTTAAAGTTTTTAGATATCTGTTCCTTAACATCACTTACACTTTGCTTGTCTTTTTGTTCTTGCTCAACAGCACAAAGTGTTTATAAAGTTAATAATATACAAGAGCAGCACTGGTGTGACTTATTTTCCAATGTAACTGATCATTTGTTCCACCTCATTCTTGAAAAGCCTAATCAGAGATACCTTAAGGTATTTCACAGAATTAAATTTTGCATCCTAAAACCATCCATAATCATTAGTTGCTTCTTAAAAAAAGAAAACAAACAACTGTTTATAATTGGCAGGAAATACTTATTAACTAAATGCCTCTTAAGATAAGTATTATACTTATTTTCCCAGGTATTCAATAGGCTTGTTTCTAATTTCCTCTCATTTTTCTCACAAAGGTTATTCATTCCTATAGTAAACAATTGTCTAAAATATTAATTAGATTTTTCCAGCACAGTAGCAACAAGAACACTTTAGAGACGATGCAATTTTAAGCTACCAATAATTTAAATTCATACAGATTGAAACATTATCAACCACCCTCAAAAAAAGCTTTCATGTTCTACTTGCTACAAAGGTAAGGAAAAAACCTAAGGGAAACAGCACAACCCATGGAAAAAAATGGTTTGAAGCAACTCTAATCATGGTGCCACAGTAATCCAAGCTTCCAGTGTTAGGGTCATAATCACAGGGCCTGAGGCTTCTCGCTGTCACACTAGGTTACATCCGCCAGACTGTCATAAGTCTGTGCTTTCAGAGTGTAATTGCATCAGCAAGTGCATTTCTTACCCTGTGGTGACATTTTTATTTATGTATTTAAAATAGGTTCTTCCACAGTTATTCAGTGCTACAAAGATGAGGCTCTCCTGATGCCTAAAAGCAGGGCTGTGAAGGACTCGGGCATAACACATTGCACTTCATGGACCACTGCAATACTAGCAAAAGAGTGATGCCTCTCATTTTTTTCCAATTTATCATCAAATTACTTTATTAAGCATTTTTAAGGTAATTTCAGTCTTTCTCACCCTATTCTAATCTAGCCTAATTTAGTCTTCCCTCTTTAGAAATGTGACTGTTATGTTAAATCTGTATTACTACAGTTTCCAACAACTTCCTCCATTTTGCTGAAGCGTAGATACCGGTTAATCAGAGTCCTTTGATTAACTCTTGCTTTCAACTCTCTCATTGTCTTTCTTGGGCTTTTACCACCAAAGCCAAGCAAACCCTGACAGTTGCTTCACAGGCACTAAACAAATGTTTAACATGTTACATGAGAAAAGGTTAAATACAAACACAGCTAATAATCTGGGCTCTTTGGAGGCAGTGTCATATCTGAATAAATCTGACAGCACCTCATTGTAAAGGGCAAGAATTTATTATTGTCCAGGTTAAATGCTGTGCTCTTATCCTTCTTGCGGCTATAACATAAGAAAGGCTCTTTGTGTGCTGAAACAAACATTAAAGTGCCAACATACACAAAACGTATAGGGTGTCTGGGGATTATTCTTCAGCAAATAATTTAACTTACTTTGGCTTCAGTCTCTCCCCTGTGAAGTGTATACAAGTGATGGACGGCACTTTGTGATGATGACCAAGGATGTGTCAGTATTTGAAAAACATGGAAATCATGGCCTAATGTGTCAGTAGTGACCAGCAACATCCCTAGGTAAAATTGAAAACAGAAAAACACAAGAGATTAATTGCTGCAAAAGAAGAGGCTTAAGAATTTCTATCTAGAAGGCTAACACGTTTTACATTTTGTTTTCTGGAAACAAAATAAAACATTTGCAAGACAATTACTGAATTTAAAGGGAATAATTTCATAAAAATGAGTCAGAACTTCAACTGAAATCATGTAACAGTATCACAGCTGAAGCAGTACAGTAGAAATCTATTAAAATCAACTGAAAAATATGACAGTACTCAACCTGAAGTTGAGAACTTCTGTGAAATGATGAACATTAGAGTGAAACCCCAAAATGCTCTTCATTGTGAAAGAGCCTGTATAAAAAAAGATTGATGTTTCCACCATAATTATTTTTGGAAGCAGAAACACTGTTAAAACACAGCCAAAACAACTTACCTCCAAAACAATCTTGAAGCATTTCTCCTATAAATGTATATAAAAGAAACTGTCTGATTTACTGCTTGAAAGGCAGCAAATCAGAGCTGAGCGCTTTCAAGTGAAATATTAAATTAGGTACTAATTTCATTGAAATCAGGTCACTGATGGATGGACTGAAATGATTAAATTAGAAGAAAGAATCACAGTAACTTATATATACTGTTTACTTCTTTCTCCCTTTATATGTCAGTCCATGAACCAGTTTTTAAAACATTTAGAAACACATATTTGAAGTCTATTTTTGCTAATACTTTAGGGTTTTATAGCAAAAAAGTAATACTTTTGCACATATAAGTGTGGCATCATGATAAAATTTAATCCTACAGGAAACAAATTTCACATACATTTTTCTATATAAAAAGTCCATATCACCTTCCTTGTTAATGAAATTTATTAAATGAGTACCCAAAATGAACCTCTGACATTTAACTAACTTAAAGTGAAAACTGATTTAAACAGTTTAATAGCTACACTGAAGTGCCTTTTAAATAATTTTAAAGGTATCGTATCTATTAAAGAAAAAAGGAATTTTCCACTTAGGTCTGGTTGTGTTGATTCTTCACTTAAAACATAATTGAAATCTTTCATCCTTCAGGAAGGGAACTGAAGTCTCCACATTTAACATGACACCTACTCAAAGGATAAATGATTATCTCATTTCTGTCATAAAAGAGCGTTGGCTTTCTCAGTTTGTTTACACATGGCTCCACAATTCATCTTTGCCTCTTCTGTTCGCTGCTGCTAAACAAACGTATTTACTACAAGTTCAAAACCGCTCACATATCATTAAGGTCCTAGCATGTACCCCTTTTAAAATTTTAGAATTGGACAGAAAAAAAGAAAGGAAAAAAACCCCTCTCATGTACTGAGCAGCAGAGAAACATGCTCTCAGCAAAGATGAAGCTAAATTAACTTCTCGCCTTTTCTGCGTAACCGCAGTTACCACATCACTGCATTGCTATCCTCGCTGTTTTTCCTGCTCAGCACTCCTGGAGGCCCTCTCCCCTCAGGCCCAAACAGGAGAACTGCAGCGGCCGGAGGCCTGACCCCAGGGGCCTTACGACGCGGGCCCAACGGCTCGGGAGCTTCGTCAGAGAACAGGTCCTGGTTGACGGGAAGAACAGCACAACGCTTAGGCCCCTAAGTGGGCAAATACAGAACTAGCACGTGAACATGTCGATGCCTCAGTTTCTCTGGTCGCAACTCTTACGAAATAAGGATCTTGTGAACATAAATACTCAAAAGACTATGAGGCTCACCAGTACCACAGTATTAAGGTACAAAACTGCAGAGAAATTTAAATCGCGTTTAGAGACAAATTTGCCTACAAGTTTCCTTTTCAGCTTGACCACTGATGCTGTTAGGGCTTGGACAAGAAAGAGGCCACCCACATTGCATACATCCATTTCCTCAAAATCACCCGAATGCAGAATCTTAAGTCTGACCTCAGCAAGATTCCCTCCAGTAGACATACTTTTACTGCTACAGGCTGTTACTCTGATTGTGTGTGTTAGAAATGAAAGGCAGTTTGTTATAGAGCTAAGAAATCCATGAGTGCATTTGGGTATTATGTTTGGGCGGTAAGGCATGTGAGTTGAGGTTGGTCTGGATGTTAATGTTGGCTTAACTGGCAATTTCCTTGATTTGTAGTGACTGTGTTGATAGGAAATACAGCTAAAGTTGTTCAACTGCAAGCCAGCCAAGTCTTTAGTGTGGGATTATGCACACAATTTGCATTAATTCTGTTCTGAAACATCACAAAATACACTTCCCTTTTAATAAAGTGTGCGGTCCTCAATAATATATACCATTTCCAGTGGAGAAAACTGGAAGCAAATAGGGTTTGTGTGATACAAGTAGTCTGCCACTGTTACCGGAGCAAGAATAGTCCAAAAGATCTAATTCAATACAGTAAGTATTTATTTTCTATATACCCATGTTTGCCTCTCCTTACACATTAGACAGCTTTATATGGAAGATGACTATGCTTTTGGCCCTCTTAACTTCTCTCTTAATGCTGATGGAAAGGACCTTTGGAAAAAGAGAAGCTGATACAGATGAATATGTAAGGTTTCTCTCAACACCGAACAGACGGCCTCAACAAAAGTAGAGTTTTTTCCCGCAAAGTGCTAGAAGTCTTTCATAAATACATACGCAGAGCTGAGCACACCCAGAGATTAGAGCACAACACTCCTCACGCGTATTCCATCACACCGCACAGTGCAATGAAGACTGCAAAAAAAGCTCTGACTGAGCCAACAATCTGTCTGGAAGTTGGAAACAGAAAGTTGCGTAATAATTATGAGCCAGTGAAAATACGGGAATTACCATAGTGCATTGTCTATCAAATCTATCCATTGTTTAGCTAACCAGTATCTTGTCTCCAATACTGGCTAGAAATGCAGGTGTCTGTGGATGGTGCAATAAACCCCACAGTAAGCAGACATGATATAGCTTCATCCTTCTTCTGCTCACAAAGATTTTTTTTCAAATCTGTAATGTCTATCTACCCAGAGCAGGGCATTGCTAGGGTAACACATGGTAACACATACACTAAAATTAGAATAAAAGAGAGAAAATTAACACAGCCCTTGTAAAAATTTGTCCCACAAATTCATAGAGTGTTCTATATAGGGTTTTACCTGTTCATTCTTTTGATGACACGCACAGTGTCTGAACAAATTAAGAAGTGAAATGAGCTTGCGTTTCTGTAGTTCTGATCAGTTCCATATGATGTCAATAGTTCTTGGTTCCATTAACGTGCTGTTCCTGCCTTTGGGTGTTTAGGGTTTTTTTTGCTAGCTTGAAAGAGTAAAGAGGTAAAAGGTAATACAGCATTTGTGAGTGGAAAGGAGATGGTTTACAAACAGAGAGATGGGCAGGCCATTTTGTCCATCCAATCTAAAATCCTGCTATCCGTCACTATTTGGAATAAAAGCATTTCATTTCATGAAAGCTTAAGGAAAACAGGCCCTTTGTTTATATTAGCAGCTATTTTTCAGCAAGTTAAAAAGGGCTTTTCGTTCCATTCACGTATGCATTTGAAATACAAATATATCCTTGCATAAATTGCTTCTACGCAGAGGTCCCAAGCACAATACCACAGATGTGAAAGAACACACATGTATTTATAAAGCAATTAGTATTTTAAAATATCTATCTTACTGCTGTTATTGAAACAATAAATCACTCATATTTTAGAGCATTTGACTTTTTTGGTGTGGTATTTGCCACTTCCCTTTACTTCACACCGAGAAATCAGTTTTCAGCTATTACAGTTCAATGCTTTCGTTTCTCAGTCCATCTCCCTGCAACAGAAGAATACTGCACAACCCTGTTACACCATTCAGAAATACCTAATCCCAACAGAGAAACATGAACTTCAATCTTGGTAGTTACCTCACTTTCACTTTCAAGAGCAGGAAACAAACTGAGCTTTCTAAAAGACCTTGTGATAGTTTTCCCAATAAGTTGTTTAGACGGGAAATATGGGTTAAAGCTGTCATAAGTTCATTCCAAAACATATTCTCTTATGCTGTACTATGCATACGAATAATCATAGATGAAAAGTGAGTAATTCTCAAGGATTTCCTGCTTACTTTTTCAAACTGGCATTAATCCCTGTTTAACAGATAGCACCTAAAATCAATTGAAAGTCTTGCATATACAGAACCCAGTGAAAATTTATGTGCAAAGGAGATAGGACTTAGTACGTATCTTGCTACAAAAACTTTGAGTTTTCTTGTCCCTAATATGAAGGGTGCAGCTAGGTTAAATTAATGACTGTTTTACTGTGTGGCTTTTCCAAATCCTAGGTCCTTTTCCTATCCTAGACGCAAAAAAAATTACTCTAGCTTTGTTTTAGCTGACAGATACATTTGCCCTAATTTACAGCTTCCTACTTTTCATGCATACTGTTTGGGAAAGAATAAGCTTCTTTCAGAATAGAAAAGTTTGAAAGTACAGAGAGTATATGCATAAAAGGAAAAACTAGTACAGATGCAGACTGTGGGTTAAGAGCTATTTATGCAGTATCAGAAGACTAAACCAGACTCTAGCCTGGCCATAAACTAAGCCCACGCCCTAAATGAGGTGCCAAGCCACAAAAAGCATTTGCGTCAACTGGGAATACAAGGAAAAGAAGGACTTCTAATTATAGGGCCTGGAAGCGGAAGCCTAGAGTGATTAGGAGTTTAGGCGCTGCTGTATGTTTATCTGGGAGCTTCCTCTCTCTCTCTCTCAGCCTGGGTTTGATAGATGAGGGTTGGCCTAAAGGGTGGGATTGAAGTTGCTGATGGTACACAGCGTTCTCCACGATCCAACAGAGACAGAGACTGCATACGAAGGCTTCTGTGGCCTTGTACGAACATAACTCTTTTCAACTAGGCGTCAGCTGGTTAGCCCAAAAGGCAAAATTAGAGAGTAGCGAATCTCAGTTGGGTACTTGCTGTAAAATCTAGGAAACCTGAGTAGCTTAAGCATCTCCACCACATCCTATTTATAACACCTATCTAACTGCATAGTTGTTTATTATGTG